CTTTTTGCTAAGCTAAATTAACCGGCTGCTGGCTGTAGCTTCGTATTCACCAGACAGACACAAGATTGGTCTAATTTAACTTAACGTGCTCTCAATGGCTCATATTTCTAATTTCTCTCGGCTAATTGCCTCTCATTTTTTCTCTGACCTTACATGGAAACTAACAAATCACTTCCTGTAGTGCAGCTCTTTCCCTGTGGTATTAGTACAGGAGTAAATGAGGGGGAGTTGACCTGCAGGTCTCCTGTGACTGTATCATTCTCCTGATTAAAGGAGGGAATGAGCCTCCTGTATATAATGTGCTGCACTCTCCCTGTTCATTAAACTATGATTCACTTGAACTGCATTATGTATTCAGCCAGGTCTATAGGGATCTATTGCGTGGGAATGAGACGATATTGATTTCCATCTCTTGCAGCTTATATTTCGCTTTTTTGTAATCCGACATTACTTTAGTTCTCTCTTATCATTTTTGTGAGACTTGTATCTTTTTTTTTTTTTCTTCTGCTTGGGTGTAGGCGTGTTATCAATCGCAGCAGTGTCTGATATATGAAGAGCACAGCAGCCCTTTCTGTCATCATTCCCCATTTTCTCGTTCCTCACTGTGCGCTGGGCTGCCTTGCTGCCGCTCGCACGTACAGCCATAAATCAACCATCGAAGAGCTGGGACCTTCTCTGCAAGGCCCCTCTCATTGATTACACCGCGCTCAGTAAGTGTAGCGTGATGAAGAGAGAGCCCAATTCAATTAGGCTGCCTTGCTCGACAGAAATATGTAGCATACGCTGCCCTGGATAAAAGGATGTCTTCAAGAGCAGCAAAAAGAAACTATGGGTAAGGAAGGAGAATTTGGGATGTAAGGGAGGGGTGTCACTCAGATAACAGTAATTGGATTGCAGTGATAACATTCTGCACCCTGGGTTGCTACTGTGAGTTGATAAAGGATGTGTGGGTTCAACCGAAGGGGAACGAGAGATGAAGGAGTTACAGGAAATGAGGATAGAATCAGGAACCAGGGCTGAGCTGGAGATCATTTGTAACCACTTTCAAATGGTCGGTTTGTCTGGGTCCAGACTGAATTATCTAAACAACTACTGGATGGATTCACATGAAAATGTGTTGTACAGACATTATTTTGTCCCGAGGATGAAGTCTGCTTACACTGATTTTTTTTTTTCTAGCACCGCTATGAGGTTGATATTTTACTTTTTTTTATTTACTGTAATTTCTCCACACTTACTAAATATATTGGAATAAAATCTAGTATAGATATTGATGGTGCCCAGAGGATGAAAAGCTTTTGACTTATCTTATCCTGACTTTTCCACTAGGGATACAAGCATAGTTGTCATGAAGTCATAGTTTCACTTATCCAGTAAAATGACTAAAATTGTACAAGATGGGCTCAAAAGTTTATATATTTATGGTTCCTAGAATATGTATTGTGATGACTTTGGTAATCCCATTTGTGGTTTTGAATAAAACGTGACGAAAGGAAAGAATTAAACTATTGGATTTGATTTTTAATAAAATTTGGAACAGACATGTCCCCTCAGGATGAACTGTAACCACTGTTTTGATCCACCTGACCTTTCCTCTAGGGCCATCATGCAGTTATAATTACAGTTTGTCCAATACTTTGGTTTGTGACCAAATACCTGTAAAACTAACGAAATTCCCCTCAGCCTCTGTGCTTTGTGCATAATGCTAATTAGCAAATGTTCGCACACAAACATCAGCATTGTCACCGTGAGCACGTTAGCATACTGACCTTAGCTCAAAGCACAGCAGTGCCTAAGTTTGCATGGCTGCAGAGTCTTAGTCTTGTTTCATAACAGATGAGTTCATGGTGAAGCACTGACGCAGTGTTTCAAATTGACATTAGTTCCAGTGGAAAAGGCTAATGAACACAAGCCAGAAATACTTTGCAACACTGGACTGGACTGTATAATGAGTATTTTTCACCATGCCGCAGGAACTGCTAGTCTGCAGCAAGATTAAACACGTTTATATGTAGATGATATTGAGTGCATATAATAAATAGTTTTTTTTTTCTATTTGAGAGAACAAATTCACGTAAAACTCATATTTCTCAGTCCTCACTCTTCACAGCAGTACATTAAAGCTACAATATGTAACATTTCCATCAATATAACTCATCTCATGAGTCATATTTTTCATTGAGCTGTGTACTTACATTATTCTAAATCTATTCCATTCTATTCCAACAATGTTCAAACCCAGAGAAATCTGTAATTTTATTAAGGTAATCGTGTGTTTCACCGGTCAACTAGCGTCATATCCTCTTTGTGCATGCATCACCATTATAGTTGTCTGCCATATGCTGTGATAAATCAACTTTCATCCAGTTTTAAGCCACATTCTTACTTTACACTTTTAAGATCTTGGTCATTTTTAACTATATATTTTAACCGGTTGAAGGATTTTAGTCATCAGATGTCAAACATCAACTCCCATGATCCCAAATGCTACCTCACAGCGTCATCAAACTTTGTCTTTGTGTATTGTTTTGATGTGAGAGACTCCATAGCTGCACAAATGACATATTGTACATTTAAAGTGAATGCATGCACTGATCATTATAGCTCATACTGCTTTTAACCAGTTACATAATTTCTTATGAGCAAGTTGTTTTACACTTTCACAGGCAGAGACTAAACTGCCAGACAGGAGACAAAGAGACCTTGACACATAACACAGCAGAGACATTTCCTAATTTCATTGAACAACCCTCTTATATAGGATGGTTACTCGGGCGGCAGATAAGTCAATACTGAATGCACGCATCCATTTCTGTAAAGGCCAAACCATGATGGATATTTTCAATTTAGCATATTAGGGTCTGCGTTAATCTCCTGTGGTTAGAGATGAGTTATCTCACAACACAGAGGTGATTTATGGGACTACAGCTGTTTGTATAAGGACTCTCAATCTCACTGTCTTTGGAGGATCAAGACGATGCTGTAGCACCTCATCCTGGATCAGATCGTGGCTCCTTCTCTTTATTCACTAAACATCCAACTGGACCGAGAGTAAAAGTCTCTTAATCATCTCTACAGGGTAGAGTCTCCTTTATGGCGACTGCCCAGACTATTCCCTCAACATTAAATCAGTTTTCGCTATTTCCAAACAGCTTAAAGTTTGGCCATATACCCTTTGGCTATGTGTGTGGTTTACAAAGAAGCTCTTTTCAGCGGGCAGCCTCAGCCACTGACAATAACAGGGATTTTAAAAAGAAGTGAATAGGTAATAACAGAAAAGGATTCAAAATAGTTCTGCACTAAAATTCACTTTCTCTTTTAAATAACTGGAATAAATCACATCCATGTATGAGATAGTGCCTCAAAAGCAATTTATTTTTCTATTGACTGTCTTGTTTAATTCACAGCACACACCAGGAGCAGAAAAAGTGACATTTATTTTCCTGTGTTGCCACGGTAACTAACCTCTCAGGACTGAACTTCATCCACCATCCACACGTGACAGTTCAGTCCATGCTGGCCGGCACAGCTCGGTGACAGACGCACATGGTACTTGCACAAGAATCCTCCACTAAGAGAGCCTTTTATTTGACCTAATTATACAGTGTCGGCCAGTCAAACACCATTAGAGCCAGATGTTCATCCATGTTCTCTTGTACATTGCACCAAATTTCAACCCAATCTGCTGTAAATGACATATTTATGTACTACTAATTTGCAACAGCAGATATGTTTTTAGGGAAATGTAGGATACATTCTTCCAAAACACTAGAGTTGCTGGTTCTCTGAAGAATTACGAACCCAGTGTGATGAATCAAGTCCCTTTATTCATGCAGCATGGAGAGAAGACCTCTGCATAGATGTTCTCGCTCGACTTCCAGAATGATCTCCTTGATATACCATACAGTATATCTAAGAACACCTGGTAACTTATTAACAGTACCGCTGTAATTCACATTCAACACAAATGGTCTTACCAGACTTCCTCGTCTAAAACATTCATCTACCACAGAAACATAATGCCATCTGGAGTTTTTTATCGATATTATAAGGAAACATGTTTAATGTTTCTGTATGTTGATACTGAAAGATACCAAAATGTTTACTCACAACATATTGTATTTATTTTTCTACAGTTTCTGCTTGTTCAACAGAATAAACGTGAATAACTGTGGTTAAACATTAGAAAATACTCTAGTTTATTAACATTAACTGAAACCACTATCTTGACCTAACCTTAGCCAAAGTGCTTTTGTTGCCTAAACCAGGTCTGTAGTGTCAAAGTCCTGCTCTTTGGTCGCCAACCATCGACCTGCTCACCTTCCTAAGCACTGCAGGTAAAAAGGCAGCACTTTCTGTACTGGAAGACAACTTCTCATAAAGGTTCTTGGTAAAAGAATGGTACATTTGCAAGACAAATGAGTATAAACACAGTTTGACAGAGATAGAGTTTATACATTATTTTGCTTCACTGCTTCATTTGAAGAGCTGACATGCCCTTAGTAATAAATTGCACTGGGTAGAATATAAATTACATTAGCAATTACAAATATACTGAGTCTCCTTATTTCAGATACATAATTTATGTTTCATCCTCTAAATCCTTACTTGCAAGTGCTTACAAACTATTTTTAATTCCATAAACTTTTTCTTCCTTTGAATGGCTTTTGAATTATTTAGTAACATCACTCCAACGGAAGTCCATAAAATATGTTCAAGGTACTTTTTTCACCTCAATTAATCATATTTCAAATTGCTGATGTAAACAAACAGTACACTTAAATGTAGTTGTTTTCCAATGTTCTTCCATGAATTAAAAAACTGATCAGGTGATTTTTGAGTAACACCAGGTTGCAATTTTGTGTTTTGGATCCAAAACTCTTTTATCCTCATGCTAACAATGCCACGAGATCATTCTGTTGATATATTAATTTAAACATCCCACTAAACCAGAAGAATTAATTACATTCTACAGACTTGATTGACTTTTACACCAGATTTAACAAGTCACGTAAAGTCCCCGGGGAGAGAATGACTAGGCGATGTACCCTCTTCCTCAGGTTTACGAGAAACAAAAATACAGTGATACCTCAGTGCAAAGCTGGAAGGATAAATAATGCTTTGGTCGGGAGCCATTTGGAAGCAAAACAACGAAGCAGGGAGGGGGTTGAGGGTGCCTGAGCGCCTGGCTAAGGCTCCTGTACTGATCAGCGCTGCATGATGCAGACAAACAGTGGAGAAAGAGAAAGAGGAGGAGGAGGAGAGGAAGGAGGAGCGAGCGGGGGAACAGACTGGCTGAGGCTCAGAGCTCTCAGTCTGTCCTCTGAGCTTCGAGAAGCAGCTTCTCTCTGCTCTCCCTCTCTCCCTCGCACACACCGGCTTTCCTAGTCTTTCGGCTGAGCTGTTAAGAGCAAACGCGGTGGCTGAGGGGCTCACTGGCTCCAACTCCTCCCCGCACCATGCTGCCCTGGAGAAGGAATAAGTTTGTTCTGGTGGAGGATGAGTCCAAGAGTAAACCCAAGAGCCTGGGGACCGGGCTGACCTATCACTCCATCCTCTCCTCTCTTCTGCGCTCCTGTCCTGACTTGCTGCCCGACTGTCCCTTCGACTGGGTGGGCAGCATCTTTCATACCAAACGACAAAAGGTGGAACTGAACAAAGAGGAGCCTGTTTACAATGTGCGCTACCTGGGGAGTGTGGTCACCATCACAGCAAAGGGAGACGGCTGCACCCAGGAGGCAGTGGCCAAGATCTGGGCGAGGAGCAACTACGGGGAGCAGAGTGTCAAGATGAGGTTAACAGTGGGATCGCAAGGCATCCGGATGAGTGCTGACAAATCTGGGAAAAAGAAACCCATCCATCTTTACTCCCTGAACAGAATCACCTACTGCAACGCTGACCCGTGCCGACCAAAGATCCTGGCTTGGATCTACAGGCACCAGGTCAAGAACATGGCCGTGGTGCTCCGGTGTCACGCTGTCCTGGTTAGCAAGTCCGAGAAGGCCCAGGCCATCGCCCACAGCCTCTACCAGAACGCCACCTCCGCCTTCAGCGAGTTCAAACGGCTGAAGCGTCAGAGCGATTTCCGGCACTGCCAGCAGCAGCTGCTGGGTGAGGAGGCGGTGCCCCTGATGCCACTGAGGAGGCTGCTGAACGGCCAGTGCCACTACAGACCGCCTGCCGACAACCCTGGCACCGCCACCCGCCTTTGCTCCATCACAGAGGAAGAAGAAGAGGAGGAGGAAGAGGAGGAGGACAGCAAAGATGAGAAGCAGGAGGTCAAAGAACCAGAGGAGTATGTAGGGGAGCAGCAGGAGAAACAGAAGGTTTTCACAACAAACACAGACCCAACTCAGTTATTATCAGAGCTGGACATTGGGGATATTGCCAGACTGGAGCAGTGCCAAATCAACTTTGTCAGTGACAGCAACAACAACACGTTTACATTTATAACCTCTCTGGTGTGACAAAAACGCAGCTTAAAGAATGCGATTCTGCAGCACTACAGTAACACATTCCTCTCTTTGCCCTTCACTGGTACCCCACTCAGGCTCCCTCCTGCCCTGTCCATACTGTGAAGTGTTTACCAGAAACTTCTCCCACTATAAGGTGGTAGAGAAAAGGCAGAAGATCGTTCTGTGGGAGTAATTTCTCTTCCGGACAGATGGCTCGAATGCTGGTTTGACTGTAGCAGTTTGGGAAACTGCTTGTTTACAAAGAGGGCTGGTGATGCACAGACTAACGATAGCACAATGACGAACGAGGACAATGGTTTCATAAAAAGAGCGCTGACGCTGAGATCACTGACATGCGGGTCACATATTGATCGCAGCACCGAGCAGGATGTGTTTATTAGTCCTCTATCTCTTGTTTTTGTGAGTATAATTAACGCTGAGTTTGCCAGCAGGGACATTTTTTTGGATCGACTTGTAATATTTTTTCAGGGAGGTTCTTTGTAAATTTGTGTAATTTTTCTAATATGACAATCCTCACTGAAATTCACAGACTGACCTTTCTGACTGCTTACAATCAGAAGTTTATTACGGTTTTACTAATGATGACAGCCGACTAATGAATAAGGCTGTAATTTTAGGAAGCAAGCCATTCAGTCGACATGTTTATTGCTGTCATTTGTTACCGTCCTTATCATTTATGCATGACGTGTCAGCAGTAACCTTTTCATGCTGAGCTTTTTTTCATTTTTCATGTGACATCTTTGATCCTTTGGCTTTTAAAATGAACACTGTGATAAATGTGTGACCAGGGACAATACACAACTGTTCATGCAGCAATGTCTAATTTATGTAATGCATTTTTAATTTATACATATATATATATACACCTGTTTCTGTGTCACCTGGTTTTCCAAAACAACAAGAACAACAAAAAACCCATTTCAATTTGCCATCGATGTGCTCTGTTTAGCCAAGTTTTTCCACGTGAGCCCTTGCAAAAATGCAGATGGATCCTTACGATTGAACACAAACTGTTTTGAATATGACTTTAACTAATTTCCTGTTGATAATATCTGTGCTACTGTCTAAAGATGCATTGTGATTATTATGAGATGAAGCTATTTATTTTCCGAATATGATGAATAAAAATTACCCTCACTTGGATTTCCTTCTTGAATCTCGGAGGGAGGGTATTTCTAGATGTTTTCAAAGAGATTATTCAAATGAATCCAACAACTCTGCATTCCACTGGTGCACATTTGCATGTTTCTGATGTGAAAATATGTGTTACCTACACTTCAAAGACAAAAAAACAACATTTTTACTCTAGCATAATCTGCTTCCTGAGCTAAAAAACTGTATAAGAAAACCTGGTTTAGACACATAAAGAAGACACACAATGTCAGCTTGAAACTGCCAGTTAGTCCCAATTAGATGTTAATGTGTTTTGATACATTTCTGCAGGCCTTGTACTGGCTTCTCTGCCTTTTACTCTGAGGGGAGCAATTAATCAGCGGATTGAATTGTTCAGGAAATGAACATAAAGCACCTGCCTCGGCAGGACGGCTGTCAGGCTCTGACAGGAGCAAGTGATCCAAAACGGGGACCGGGAAGTTGACTCACCAACCATCAACCATTTTACTGCAAACATCAGCCATTTTAGTGATGACAGAGTCTTTAAAATGTTTTACTGGAATCACACAAACATCAGCAAGTGTGATAACAATGAAACATGAAGCACGTTTGAGTTATTTTTCAGTCAGCATCTCTGTCTTTGAACTACAATGAATTCATTATTTATACAACTTATTATATCATCACAATATAATGTTGCAGTGTAATACATATATTAATGCACAAGGAAATTATTGATGTTAAAACTGTTCATAAATTCAGTTTAATTGTGTTCCATAACAACATCAAAAGCTGTTTGATTTGACAGTTGTGCGTCCTCATTAAGAATCCTGCTTTTGAAGAGGAATTTCTAGGTACTGCTCTTGATGAAAACAGAATAATTTTATGTTGGTTTGAATTACTGAGATGGATTGTTCTGAAGGTATACGTTCAGTGGGAACCTCAAAGATCAATATTTTTCTTTTTCCTCTGAAAAAGAAGAGGATCTAATGTGAGAAGATTGATAATAAAGGATTCCTGTGCCCTTGCCACAAATCCACTCATATCAAGGATAACTGAAGAATCTGAATGCTGAGAGGCCAGCTCCGTTTTTTTATTGCTTTATTATATTTTCCCAGCATTTTAATCTCCAGCTAGTTCGACAGGCTCCTGTTCTACATAGATAAACAGTCATATTATACACACACACAGTGCCCAGTGTGATAAAGTCCGACTGTTTGCTCACTGACATTCATGCAGAAATGCATTGTGCCTGACATGCTGCCAGTGCTATGTTAACATAGAGTGGTTAGCAGAGGAGCCACGGTGCTTTTATGTAAACATAACTCTTGTCAAGCAAGCAGAAGAGAGGGAGCAGATGGCAGCAGCAAGGTGCACGCTGGGCTTTATCGCAGTCATCTTCCAGAATAACAAGGGCTCAAGCCCAGATCCAAAGCTTGTTGTGTTTTGTCACATCGTCTGCCACAGAAGCTCTTAAAAGAAAGACACTGAAATCTAATCAAACATAGCAGACACTGGCCTGTCAAGTATCACATATAACCGTGCTGTGCCATTTTACAGCAGGGCGTCTTTGGAGACCCTAAAAGCTGCTTCTGCCGGCACACAGCTGCTCAAAGGCTTTCTCATCCCCATGCAGTGTGTGTAAGGGAAAAGCAGGGAGATGACTGACAGCACTGCAGGCCCGCTTGTCTCCATCACGACGAGGACGAGTGGAGGAACAAAATGTTGCGTCCCAGAGCAGCTGGCAGCAGGTGGCAGTCCGTTTTGTTCCACTGAGAATTGTACAAAAAAAAAGTGTTTAGCTGCTTCTGTGTGAGGATGGAAGAGAGGAAAAACAGCCCATGCCGGGGAGGGAAGAAGGAAGGACAGTTTGGATCAATGAATGAGACATCAACAGTAATGAAACCTCGTAAGACAACAGCCGTTGTGTGAATTAAATGCTGCTGACTGTACATAGATTTACTCCACATATATTTTACCTAATGTATCCTGAAACAGTCAGATTAAACAACAAAATACTATTTGTGTTTTCTGATCTGAGATCGACAGGATGATGAGTGCGCCTCCCAAAATCACTACTGAGAATAAATGTGTTACATGATGTGAGAACACAATGGGTAAGGTTTGGTTAGGCTAAGGCACAAACACAACATGGTTAGGAGAACATTGTTGTTTGGTTATGACTACTTCATCAAGGTTAGAAGATCTCTGTCGTCATGGTTACAATAATAAACCCTTGGTTAAGGGTAGGGAACAATGGGTTAGATAGATAGATAGATAGATAGATAGATAGATAGATAGATAGATAGATAGATAGATAGACTTTATTAATCTCGGAGGGAAATTGGGTCATCATAGCAGCCAGGTACATTATAATACAATAAAATACAATAGAATAAAATAAAATACAACAATAGAGAAAATACTTAGAAAAGATAAAAAAAGATAGATAGGTAGGTAAGGTGCAAAGAGTTGTAGTTGCAATAGACAGAAACTGTTAGTTTGAAACTGGAAACAGTGGCTCTTTGTAATAGAGGTGGGGAAGACTTACATTTGTCAAACCAAGCACTTAATCCTCATCCTTGATCTCTTTTCTCAGAAAAAATATTGTTTGAAAACACTTCAAATAAAGCATAAATTTCACATTTCGGTCACAGTAGGTGTTGCATCTACTGCAGTATCTTCATTAGGTGTTTTTGGCCCAAATAAACGTTTACATAGTTTTAAGAACAGTTGGAGGAACTGCAAGAACTGGGAATGATCATTCATGATTGATTGAACAAATGAGCCTGGTATTTTTAATATCCTGCGTTAAATGTTAGAAACAACAAAATGTAATGGCAGCCTTAAAAAATTGAACAAAACACGGACACACGGGCCGATAGTGAAGCCCATGCTTTATTGAGCATATATGCCCTATATATTGCTGTACCAACCACTGGCGGCTTACATAACTTTGTTTCTAAAAAAAAAGCCCTTGAAGGTATGAGCTCCCTCCCCAGTGGACACTTCCTCTAAAGGGAATCCCCAGAACCGTTTGGTCCAAAATACTCACATATTGTGATGAACCAAACTAATTATGGGCTCATTATGGCCTAGAAAATACCCACTGGTACATCACACCTGGGTGGAAACTGCAGTTGTAGTGGATGTTTTAATGGCCACATTGAGGAGATTTGTGTTGCTTTATCTGAAGTGTTTTCAAACTGTATCTTTTTGGTTTTGCAAGAGAAAAGACTTCAAGGATGAAGACTAACAGGCTGGTTTTGCAAATGTACCTCTGGTGAACTTTGCCCCATCCGTTCCAGTGCAGTGCACAGCCACTTCCCTGAGCCCTTCAATGGGACCTTCCTGAGCTGTCTCTCACACAGTGGATCAGACAACTCGGTCAACGAGGCTATACAATACCGTTACCTGACTTCCTCCTTTGCTCTCGTCATAATTCCCACGGCCGCTAGAGGGCTTTGTCACTTGAACTTTACCACTGTTTTGTCAACATTGCTGACACGACTGATGCTGTCGTTGTTCTCTGGAGGACAGTCTACCCTTTCGTACAATATTTGATGCCTCCTATCGTTTTACAGTCGAAGGAGAAAACTTGAGTTAGAGTTACAAGTTCAAATGATCAGACTATCAAAGCTAACAAGCATCATTTTCCATCTCATGCATATGTTATAGCATTTTCTGAGAACCAAATTGCACACCTGGCAATTTGCAAATGAGCTGCACCGTGTTTTGCTGCTCAGCAAATCACATCGAGGCAGAGGACGCTCTCTCTTTTGGTACAAACAACAAAACTGCACTCCAACTGTAAGATGCACATTTTTTAGTTTGACTGAAATACTTATATATTATACAACACATAGTCTTAAAGTGAGTGAGAACTCATAAGACTAAGTTGTCAAATAATCTCCTGAGGCCACAACTGTTCCTGTTGAGCGTAAGCTGCAGTCCAGACTCCTGCAAAGGAACAAAAAAAAACCTTGACTGCCAGTGAGCATAACTATGCAGCTAACTAATTCATGAGAATCAGGGATTAGTTACTGCTATAAAACATGTATGGTTTTATCCCATAAAAACATAATAAGTAATGCCAAAAATGTCTGGGAAGGAGTCTGAGATGAAAAATCACGCCTCAGGAAATGGGTGCATGCATTTTGCTTAATAATTATATTCAGGAAAGTGAATAATATCTCTGTTGTCTCTTTTCTTCCTGGAACAGTGCATGTTTTTGGCAGCGAGGCAGGGGCTGCAAATACATTTATGTTGGTAAAACAAGTGAATGCTACAGTCCTGGGTAGTGTTTCAGTCAGCTTCACTGCTCATCCCTGCACTCATTTTGGCTGCTGAGTTTATAGAAAATGAGCCACAGAAGATATCCCATGCCCTTTCCACCACTATTCCACCATTAAACCTGTTTAAATTGCCCTTTGCAAAATTGGAAAAGGGTTCTTTTTTGGTAATAATGTTACGCAAGCGAGAACAAGTAATTTCACAAGGAAATTTAATAACCCCGTCACACACCACCTGATGTCTTCATACCACAGGCTACAGAAGGGGAGGGTTGCACGTCTCTGTTATCCCCTGACGTCACCAGAGGGCCATTAAACAGACTAATTATGAAATCAATAACCTTAGAGCACAGGTTTTTGTTTCCATAGTGTTCTTTTATGGCACCCAATTGGACACAGTGCTGCTTATGTCCTTGTGGGGTCTGCTTAAATCGTTTCATGCCTTTGTGCTTGTGCGTCAGCTGCTTCACTGATTGTAATGGTGAGATGTGGTTTCACGCCGCATCAACCTTATCTGACACCTGTGATACGCGCAGCTTACGGCTGTCATTACATACGGCTGTCAACCACGCTCACAGGAAAACACAGATTTGGATTTTAAAGACAAGAAGAGATGGTAATTTTCTAATGAATACATGTGCTTTTGAAGGAATAGTTCAATATTTTGAGAAATGTCCTAATCCGCTTTCCTGCCGAGAGTTAGATGAGAAGATCAATACCTGTAACAAGCTC